GGAAAAACAGCAAAAGCAGACATTTTGAGTTCTGACTCCAGCATAGATTGTATTTATTTCTACTGGAATTCAAAGAGGTGATTTTTTTTGTTTTCACAATTTAATTCTCTCCACTTCTATTTCAGAACTTGCAATTTTGGAATGTTATACTCTCTCTAGGTTTTTATTTGGGTTTAAATTTGCTATGGTGCTTCTTTTTTTTTTTTTTTTTTTAACTAGAATGATGGGTACTCTTGTTTCCTATGCCCTTCCTAATGCAATTCAGTTTTTTGTTTGTACTTTTGGCCACCACAGAACATGTTTCTGTGAGCAAATTTTACTGATACTCAAATATTCTATCATAAGTTATAGTGAATAGATGAGGACTGATTGTCTTAAAGGTCGCTTTATCCAGTCTAGGAGCATCAGGGAAGGCAACCTGGAGGAGGTGTGTGACACACAGTAGGCACTAAAATATGTGCTAATGAGGACACTTCTAAACTGACACTGAAGGGGCAAGTATGAATTTGCCAGGCAGAGAATGGGGAGAACATATAGCTTACTTCAGGAAGAGGAAAGACTAACAACAATAATACATTTATTAAGACAACTTGCATTTATTGGAAGTTCACTAGGTGTAAGGTAACTTGCTAAATACTTCACAAGCATTAGCTCACAGACCCCACACATTAACCTTATTATCTCTGATCTACAGATGAGCAAACTGAGGCTTTGATTCAATGGTCTGCTCAGGTGTCAAGACCTCTTAGAACAAGTAAGGGGGGAACTGGGATTCACACCTCAGCCTATCCGTCCACAAATCTGAGCTATTATCCACTCTAATACAGCTTCACCTAACAGCAGGTGTAAGAGGTTGCAATATGTCTCCATAATAATTCACCCAGGCATGACCATACTACCTGTTTCATCACTACCTGAAAGAATTTAGTACCACTTTCATACTGGACATTTGTGCATTTTACCTTTTAGATATTCTAGAAAAATCTTCAATGAAGCAATTTCCCACATTAACCTGTAGGTGATTTTTGTATTAATATTATTTTACTCAGTGAAATGTTTATATGTTCTATTCTGCTTTTAGAGTTTTTAAGATACCTAGCTCTACTGAACATGGAAAACATTTTTCTCCAAGGTAATTCAGTGATAGTTCAATAATTAAAACATCTTTTTCTGTAAAGCTTTTTTTCTGAAAACCTAAAAGATAGTGGTTTATCTTCATTGAGACTATTCTCTACCTATACATGCCTTACAAAGCACTAATGGCAAAGGATTCCATCCTACTCAGAGTGAAGATAAGGTAGTGAAAACTCTGATCACATTTCAGGAAAATTCATATACTACCCAATGAGTACCCGGCATGTGGCAGGTGATCCATATGTGTTTGTTGAGTTAATGAATGTCGTTTCGCCAGTCTTTCAAGAACCGTACCATTTTGTTAGGGAAATTGACAAGAGTGCTTAGTCTCCTGTTTATTCAGGGGATAATTTATGTATTTCATACAATTCCTTGACTTTCCTGCCTGTGTCCTACTGCCCAAAAATGTGACAGTTTTGTTCAACACTAGCCCCACATCAACTTATGAAACTCAAATCAGTCAGCTTCCTTAGCAAAGGGTTGATGGGAGGCGAATGGAGAGAACAGTGGAAAGTCTGAGGCTAAGAATAGATTTTTTTGGATGGCTTGTAGATTTTCGTGATGGCCTCAGCTTACTTGCCATTATTAGCATGGGTAATTAATAGTTGGCTGGCTGTATTTCCTTTTATTCTCTGGTTTTATCATCTTTCAAGTGAATTTAGTCAGGGCTGGTCGTACTAAACGGATTTCTAGCCTAGACTCCTGGTAACATTCCAGGAGAATGGCAGTGGGAGAACAACCGAGAGCAACAAAGTGGCATCTTTCTCCCTTTGCAGTTTCCTCTTCTGACACAGCACCTGCTTATCCATGATTATAACATGATAGCAGTAGATAGCATGGCAGAGCCCAATGTGTCAACTTAAGTTAAAAAAATGTCTGTAGTAGTTTTCATTCCTATTGTTTTATTTTGCCTAGTTCCTTTTAATTCCTATTTTTTGTTTCTGCATCTCAGTGTCTATATTCTGTTTGTTTTTAATATTTTCTTGTGAGGCTCCTGAGATGGAGTGTTTATTCTTTCAGCAATTAGAGCAGCTATTTGGGAAGTGATGGGTTTTGCTATTTTACTGGCTGTGCTGCTCAAAGCAAAGGTATCTGAAAACATATGTTAGGGAGGAGCCTTTGGTTCTAGGCACTTGCTGCACTTAGTGTGTTAGGTATTCTCCACAAAATTCTACTGAGTCCTCATAGGGTAAAAAAATCCAATTAGCAAATCACACAAACGGGCTGCTATAGACTGAATGTTTGTGTCCTCTCCAAAAGTCGTACATTGAAATCCTAATCTCCAAGGTGATACAGAGTATTTGGTGGTGAGCCTCTGGGAGGTGCTTAGGTCCCGACAGTGTGGCCCTCAAGGCTGGGACTATTACCCCTACAAAAGAGACTCCAGAGAACTCCCTCACCTCTTCCACTAGGTGAGGACACGGAAAAGACAACCATCTATGAACAGGAGGTCTGCTTTCACCATACACTGAATCTGCCAGCACCTTGATCTTGTACTTCCCAGCCTCCAAAACTGTGAGAAGTAAATTTTTGCTGTTTATAAGCCACCCAGTCTATAATATTTTTCTTAAAGCAGCACAAATGGACTAAGACAGGCTTTTGTCATTTCCAAATTTAGACACGTTCCTAAAAGGAGTAGCTATCCTCTCTCCCCTCCCAGACACTTCAACTCAGCACAGGCAATGTTTCTGTAGTCAGCAATGTGTAAGTGCTTTCACTATTAGTGTTTTTGTACCTTCAGATTATCCTTTGGGCCACCCCTGCTAATGCATTTGAACACAAAATATTCTATATTTATTTGTTATTGAGTCCCTGATATTGTGCGACTCTCAACCCCTTATTACATATACTGTCAATGCTATGCGATCATTTATGAAAAACAAGTTGCTGAGAGTCTCACAAATGCCAAGAGCCTTGAGGGTATATCCTGGGTGCAAGGACAGATACATTTCCCTGAACAGATTCATCTGTTTATTCATTTTTCTTACTGTCCAAGATGAATCAGAGTGCAGCCACCATGCTTCTTGTTAGGTGGATGCCCTAACAAACAGCCATAAACACTAGAGCCATTCAATGAGTTAATTTTCCCTTTCTGTTGGAATTCTGATTGACGTGGTGGGTCCTTAACTGTTGGGGGGAAAGGAGGTGTGGCCTTGCCCAAAGCCTGGAGAGCAGACTCTGTCTCTTTTGGGGATAGAGGTGACATTCTTTGGCTGTTTACATTTCTCTCACATTGTTCATTTTCTTTTGAAACCTGTTTTCAGAAGTCTCCTCATCTCATGAAATTCTTCAACCCACAAAGAATCCATTTAAAAAATATGACCATAGTTCATTCTTTCAAAAACCAAGCTGGACCCACATTGACCTATGGATGCCAGATCAGTTTCTGTGGAGTTGGAAGCACATGATGATATAAATTCCAGCCTCATGATCTTTTTCTTCTTTTCTGTCTCCTTTATCCACTCTTCTGTTTCTCTATATTACCTTTTTGGTCGCCAATGCCTTAGACTGGCCGCTGGGGAGCTTGATAGTCGGCACTCAGAGTCAAAGAGCTGGATGTCTCCCACTTTCCAGTTCTTTCAATTTCTTTCTTTGAAACTTAATACAATGAAAGGTTATTAAGACATTGTAATTCTCACTTGGAGTATGCCTGTATTTTATTCTAATACTAAATTCAAAGTTACCATGGTCTACTCTCAGTATATTTACATCTATGTATCTTAAAGGCTCACAACTCTTGTGCAGCATAAATTGAATTTTAGATCAAAATTTATTCAGGAAATATTTATTGTGTGTCTTTCTGTACCAGGGATGAGAATACAGTGGTGAGTAAGACATAAAGTCCTTGGTCTCCTGGACCAGGCATTCTAGAAGCAGAATGGCACCATAATTCATTTATTCCGTAACTCAAGAGAGAAAAATAGTGCTAGAAACTGGGAGGGACTATGCATATGCCATGTTCTGTAGTACATCATAGACTGAATTAGAAATTTTTTTTCATAACAAAATATTTCAAATCAATTACTTCCATTCAGGAAATACATGGTCATTATTTTCTTCAAACTGGAAATTACTTTATCCCCCTTTTCTATGAAGTTCTCTTAAATCCTTTATTATTCAAGGTCTCTATCCAATTTTTCATCAAATTACCCTGTTTGTAGCTCCCAAACGTTAATACCTCCATGGACCCTGTAAAGTGCTTTAGGGCCTTAACTGTGTGTGAGGCAGGAATAGTATTTAAGCCCTTAATGAAAATAGGAGCTTCGAAGGTGTTACACTTTGGGGTTTGTAAGAGTCTTCCTCCTCTTCTTTTTTTTTGGGGGGGGGCTAGTTAGGGAGGGGGAGGAAATACTGTACTGTTAATGCACTTTTGTTACATTTATAGTCTTCTCTTTTAAAATACGGGTTTCGTGTACTGCAATTATGAACACTTCATAGGGCTTGAAGGGCATCTGCTAACTTTGGGTGTGTGTATTTTTCCAACTCTCCAAGCAGTTTCTTTCTACCGGTCTGATTCTCGCAGGCAGAAAAGCTAATTATGTCTCGTTGTTTCACCTATCTTTCTCTAGAAAAGTGAAAGTGAATAGACAAGAAAACAGAGAAGAGAGGAAAAGAGAGGGGAGAAGGCAGAAGCAAGAAAACGAAAGAACAGTGGAGCCCGGGAGCACTGACTGCGGACGAGCAGACCCTGGCAGCCACAGCGCGGAGCTGCCGGCGCCCACTGGCCCCCGGAGCTGCCAATCGGGGCGTAATCCTGTAGGAATTTCTCCAGGGTTTAGCTGGGAGTCACACTGCCGCCTCTCCTCCCCAAGACGCCCGGCGGAGCTCGGAGAAGCCGGCGAGGGAGGGAGGGAGCGGGAGAGGAGGAGCACCCGGGGAGGGAGGCGGCGGCGCGAGAGGAGGAGGGGCGCAGCCGGCAGCCGAGCCACCAGCTCGGCCCGACGCACTCCTCTCCAGATACTCCGGGAGTCCTCGCCGCGCGGACTGCGCGCCCCCGCTGCTCTGTCCCCAAACTTCGGCTGCAGCTAGATTCCAAGCCATCTAATTTATTCTGCAAAATCAGAAACTGAACTGCGACTCGGAGAAGGAGTCCGCGGAGGGGTAAACCAGCGGAGCAAGAGGAGCTCTAGAGAAAAGCCTCCCCGAGCAACAGCTCGGCGTCGGGAGTGCAAAACCAACAAGTGAGAAGGCGCCGCGGTCCCGGAGCGCATCCGCGGGCGCCCGGAGCAGGCGCAGGAAGAGCGAGCGAGGCCCCCGATCCCGGAGCGCGAGCCCCGGCCCGGCCCCCGAGTATCCGAGCCCGAGCCGCGGTCGCTGCGGCGGCTGTGCTCCGGGTCTTTCTGCGCGGGCTTCGCCGGGCGCTGGGCGGGAGGCTTCGTGTCGCCCTCGTTGCAAACGGCGGCTGGGAGCAGCCGGACCCGGGGAATATGCGGCGCGTTTGGATCCTGCTCATCTTGGGCTTGGTGGCCTGCGTGTCGGCAGAGTCGGTAAGTGGGCCGGGAGAGGGAAGCGCTCGCCGAAGCGAGGCCGACGGGGTCCGCAGCTCCCGCGGAGAACCGGGGAGCGCCACCTGGGGGATCCCCTCGCAGACTTGGCGCGCAATTCCCGGGGATCCGCTGGGACAGCTGCGCTTGCTTCTCCAACCCCTTCCCCTCTTTCCACCCCCCGCAGAAAAGCATTCCTCGCCGGAGTTTCCCAGTGGTCCCTGGCGATGAGGGCGCGAGAATCTCAGTTTTTCTAACCGCAGAGGTCCCTGAAGTCTCTCCCAACTTCTTCTCCCCGCAAGGTTCTTGTTGCTTGGCCAGTGGGGTAAAAGGTGGTCGGAAGCGAGAGCTGGGGAAGGGCCCGAGAGGGAATGCGTCCCCTCCGTGCGTTTCCCGGGATCACCTGGAAACTTTAGGGTCCCTACCTCCACACACCATCTTCCCCCTCCTCCCCCCAACGCCAGCTTTCCTACTTGATTGAATACAAGACCTGGGGAGATGGGGCCTCGGTTTAAGAAACCCGCTAGTATCGGGAGAGGAAAGTTTACAGAAGTTCTTTTGTTCGATGTTCCCGGTGGCTGGGGCGAGGTAGCAGGCACTACGTGGAAACGCTATCCCCGGAGGCGCAGAATGCGGTCCAGCCGGAGTGCCACGGAACGCGCTCGAATATTCTGGGTCGCGGGCTGCTGGAATCCTAGTCCTTAAGTGACCCCCTCCTCCAAGAGTGGCCGAGAGCGGCCCGAAGGCCTTTAGGGGCAGGAGGACATTTTAAAATCGAATTGCACTGGAGCGAAGCGCGCTGGGTGAGGCGGGCTTCGTGCGATGCGCTCGGCCTCGGGTCGCCTGGCTGCTCGGGACCCAGGTTTCCAGCCACGTTTGCCTCGCGGGGTCTGGCGGGGCTGTTTCCGAGGCCCGAAGAGGTTTCTTAGGCCGGGGCGCCCAATGGGCACGCAGCCTCCCTCTCCTACCCCGGCACTGGGAACTTGGTTTCTCCTTTGGGTAGTGTTTTTGGGGCTGGAGCCTGTCTCCCTACTTCGTCCAAAGAGCGCCCTCTAAAGGGAACTGGCTCCTGGGCTTCCCCTTGTCCCTACCTGGGCACCCCTAGAGCTTTGTCCGGCTAAGTGGAGGCCCAAACACCCCGGATTCCGCCAGCAGCTTCAGTGCCTACTGGGGCCTCGGCCTGGGAGTGTAGCTGTTCCAGTCCTTGAGCTCCCGTTCTCTGCGCGCATTGCCACCGGTAACTTGACTTCTTTCCAGTTAACTGCACTATTTGAAGACAAATGTCATCTTTAGGGATAGTTCTGTGAGCTTTTTTCTCCCCCACCCTTGGAGTGTTATGTTACTTTCCCCTTCTCGGTTTTTTGGAGTTGAAGCAATTTAGGAATGGGAAACCGCTTTGTCACTGAGCAGCCAATGGACGTTTTCATCAGTGTGAGAGCAGCTGTGTATGCTAGCAGGTCCCCAAACGTTACTTGAGATTGGAGAGCACGTAGAATTGTCAGAATAGATGAGTAATTTGGGTAATCAGGCTGAAAAACAGAACTCTGAACTTTAGCAGTATTTTTCTGTAGCAAATGACCGTTTAATCCACTGGGATCCGCCACCTCGTAGCCAGTTACGAACTTTGGCATGTTATCCACAAGGAGAGATTCTGTTTATTTCAGGAAAACATTGCTCATCTTGTTGCAAAACAAGGCAAAGGGAAAACTCCTTAAAGGTTTTCAAGAGAAGCCTCCCTAAAAGGCTTACATGGTTACTTTAAGGAAGTCCTTTTTTGCTAGGATTTGCTAGGAAGTGTTACTGTTGAGGATTGTAGAAAAAGACTGTGCGTTCTGCCTCTGTGTCTATTCTGCATAAATCAGACAGAGCTCCCTTAAGCAAGCTTTTGGCTGAACTGTCCTCCCTGACGACACCTTTCCCTGGAACTCTGACTGGGGTTCTGATATTTCTCACTTCCAACCAGAATTGGATGCTTTCCTAGTAAGCTGCTTCACTGAGGTAGTTACTGTTTTCAGTCATCGGAATATCCAAAAGGGTGATTAGATATATTTAAAATGTCAACTTGGAGACAGTAGCAGAGTCTTTGTTAGGCAAAGAGTCAGTCTACTCCATAGAAGCTGTTTCGAAGCCCACAATGGCTAATTTAGTACATTTAAATGACTTTTCTGTATGTTTCATGTATAGGAGCATAAATATGTGTGAAGTTGAAAGTCTTAATTTTTTAATATTTAGTCAGTATAGCACATTATTTCTAGTACTTTGTATTTTAATTTGAAAATTGCAACTGTTCAGCTGGGAATTAGTAGTGATCATCTGAGCTTAAGCCTCTCTTTAAAAGGAAGAAAAGAAAAATGTCTGTAGTTAGTGAATTTTTGAGTTTTATACTGAGCTCTGAGCTTGGGGAAAAATAAAGAGGTTCTTAGGACCTAAGGCTTAAAGCTGGCTGTGAAGAGAAATGGGTATCCATTCCTTTACAGAGGCTGGAGACAACAGGTCAGACTGTTCATGGTGATGCATTCTACTTTACACGGGCATGTTAGGTCTTCCACTGTGGGAACCCGGTGCAAGGGGAAAGACTGACTGAGTGTGGCAGTAGTGATATGCTGCTGTTTTTCCATCCATTTTTTCCCATGACTCTCTATTTTCAGAAAGAATACATTGCAGACTGTTAGGAGCACATAATTTGAACTGGAAATACGTTTAAGAAAAGGGAGCATTTTGAACTAGTGGAATTTCACACCCATGCTTAGATATGTATAAATTAAAAGTAACTGTCAAGTCACTTGGACCCGTGCATTACCTCTCAGTGTATTATGAAAGGCAGGCTTTGGAAAGTCTTTTGGAAGGAAAAATAAAATTGGAACTGTATAATCTTTTGCAGTTCTTTAAAAATATATTTTGGCTGTTCTAATAATGAAACAAATTACTTTTGCTAGGGAATTTTATAAAACAAGGGTTCTTTCTCTGTTAGTTGGATATTGGCTATAAATAGATGTCATTTAAGAAGGAAAGATCTTACAAGATCAGGCTCACGGGAGATGGGTCTCCTAGAAGAAATTTGAGTATGCCCTCTAACTCCTAGTCCTGGGATCTGGTTGTATCTAGTTTTGGTGGTGCTCTAAATTCAAAGGATTGCATAACATGGTTATTCACATGGCACCTGTAATAATCATTGGTTTGGAAAGGATTTCACAAGACCAGTTTTTTCCTGGGTGGGACTAGTTCTGAAGTCATTAAAAACCCCCAGAGACCTGACTGGTCAGATGCAGGTGGCCTGGAGTATCCCCAGGTTGGCAAAGCCCTGAGACTGATCCTACCACACAGCCTAAGCAGCTCTGTTATTTACAGGGAGTCCCATCAGGCCACGGTGGTAGTGGCATGTCATTTGGCAGTTATCCAGTAGATTGTGTGAAGAATGTCATTTGAGTAGATTCTCATCACACTGTCTCTCCTTTATTGTTAAAAATCAGACAAGAAGATCTTGCCTATCATTTTCTTTTTCCCAAGGCAGAAACCTGCCACCTGCCATTCCTGCCACTGGCCACAGTAAATTCCATGATCTCAAAATCACCTAATTCCTTCCAGGACCAGAAGCCAAAATAAAGTTTTAGAGGAAAAAAAGCAAGAAGTAATGAAGAAGAGTCTTTGCTGAAATAGCTGCTTTTACTTTCTTTTTAGTCCATGTGCCAATTCCATCATCTTAATTCTAGTCTTTTGGATTTGAATCTTGAAGACATCCTTGACTCATTCATCTTTGTTGACTTCATGTCCAGTTGGCCTCTACATTCACCTCTTTGTTGTTCATTACACAGTTAATTCACCACCTATTAAGTACCTGGGATAAAGCATGAACAAACCAGACGAACCCTTCGGTTTTTGTGGAGCTCCCATCCTACTGATCCAGATGGCTTTTCCTTCGGTGCTTTCTGTTTTGGGGCCTCACCAGCTTGTGCCTCCATGTCAGCATCCTTGTAGTCACCCTTCCTAGCCCAGATGCTTACCAGCTGTTTAATTTATCCTGTACCAAGTTGCCTGTGGTCCAGAAACCTCCATATTTCCTTGTTGTTAATGGTGTGGAGAATAAAGATCTCCACCAGATTTATGAGATGCTCCCTAATACTACCACTTCCTACTTATCCCCCCGTGATTACTCTCCATCACATCTCCTGGCCCTGAACCCCTGGTTTCGCTGTCACCAGCACTCCAGGGATATAGCCATCTCTTCAGTGTTTCTCCTTTTAAATTCTGTTGATTCAAATCCAAGCTCCAGATAGCCTTTTCATGACTGGTCCAGCCCTTGTTTTTTCCTTCTCTGTAAATAGTAAGCCTAGTGATGGTCAGAATCACTGAAAGTATGTAAAAATACAGATTTCAGGGCCTCATCTTAGACCTACACAAAAAGTAGCCTGCAAGGGGTGGGGGCAATCTGTATTTTTATGAAGCATCTCAAATGATTCTAATCAGCCAGCCACATTTGGGAAATAGTGGTCTGAATTGCACACTTTACCCCTTACTGCTATTTTGTGTCAGTTGTGGGGCTCCCAAAAGTAAGTAGCTGTGTGACCTTGGGGACTAAGGTCGAACTCAAAGGACTTGGGCATGGGAGGTAGACAAGTCTGGGTTCTGATAGTGGTACTTAGCCACATACTCAGTGCAGTAGGGCTTGGATAAGATGCTAAAACTCCAAGTCATTTAAAAAAATACATATGTGTGAGTGTACAAATTGGATTTGAGAAAGACTTTATAACATGACTATGAGCATAAAATTAGGGTGCATAATAAGCATGGTGTTTGAGGCACAGAAGGTAGTAGGTAGCTTTTTTCTTCCTTTACTTTCTTGGCTCTAAAATCAGATGTTATTAAGGCTTCTTAGCCCTCTGACATTATAGAGGTTAATTTTCTCTCCTATCAAGATTGATGCTATCCAACAGGAGAGCCCTTGTTTCCACACCTTTGTGCAGTGCTAAGCTTGGGATACACCTGTGGATGATTTGTGTTTGAGT